CATTTTCTTTACAAACCTGAATGATGGCTATGTTATGTTTGATGCAGAGCCTGGACTTATGAACAATCCTCAGGCTCATTCCTTATCCACACTTCCAGCTTGACACTTCTAGGTCCCTCAAGCTCTCCAGATGCACCATGTCCTGAATTAAGCTCTTTGTTCTTTAACTTGTTTTCCTTGGTAAATAGCACCACCATCCTCCCACCCGGTCACCTAAAGCCAGCAATCTGGGGGCTGTCCTTGCCTTCCTACGTTCTCACCCCGCACCTCTGAGTCACTGGAGCTTGTAGTTCCATTTCCATTATCTCTCTACTTTCTTCTAGTAACATCCCTATGGCGTCTCCCAAATGGCCTCTTTGCCTTCAGTTTCACCCCAACCCCCTTCCATCCATCCAATCAGATATGCAGTGACCATTCTTCCTCCCTGCTGAAACTCCTAGAAATTGCTTTTGACCCCAGGTAGTAGAAATTTGGCTATATTGTTTAACTACATAATTTATTTTTACCATGTGGTGAAAAGTGTCCAGATACGTAACATACTACCAATGACAACCATTAATGATTTCTCATGAATCTTACAGCAATGTGCATTGACAGAATAAAGTTATACAATTTCAAGATTTTGATATTTTATAACTGGGCCTAAGCACAGTGCTTTAAAAAAAAACCCAGAAACTCCCCAAGTGATTCTATTGTGCAGCTAAGGTTAACAAGCACTGCACCTGGCCCAGGTGCGTTTGATTCACAGCTGTGTCAGCTTGAGCTGCCTTGAAAAAAAAGAAAGAAAAGAAAAATGATTCACAGCTGAGGTCTAGAGAGAAAATCTAAGATGATTCCCAAGGAAAGTCAGAAACCAGGCTGGAACTGCTAAACAGATAGCATATGACACAGGTCATTGCCAAGATGATTAAACATACAGTGAACTTTCAATTACAGTTTGCAAATTTCTAATCCCAGGCTGTTCACTACTGCTTACTAACAACCTAAATTAATTTTTATATTTTTCCCTCTCCCACTTTCAAAAATGTCTCAAGATACTTCATGATTCTTTCTCCTTACGGTGTTTCTTTATTGGTAACAGCTTTTGGTTTTTGTTATTTACTTATATTAAATATATGCAGGTAGGACTAACTACTACCACTTTTAACTCTTTCTAATTTGCTCCCTAGTTATTAGTGGCTGTGTTTTCTTTGAATCAAAATACAACTCCCTCCTTGTACTTTGCTTCTTCTGGATTTCACCTAGTTCTGACATTTTCTTATAATTCATATGAAAAATATGATGTTTTGGGAGGACCCTGGAGCAAAGGCCTTGGAGATAATCCCTTGTGACATGTGATATAAAGGAGATGAACAGAAACCTACCTATTTGCTGAAAATAAAAAGGAATCTCCTTGGATCACAGAAGAAAAAATAATTTAGAGAAAGAGAAAGTTGAGATAAAGGGGAAAACAGAAGAATGAGTCCTAAGAAGGAAGAGGAGGAAAGTGAAAAGAATGGAAATTGAAGACTGGATTTCTGGTCTACCTTTTCGCTCACCCTTTAACCACAGAAGTCCCCAAACACAGATTTTCATTCTCAGGAATGCTGGAATGACACATCATAAGCTGCTTAGTCATCTGCACCTGCTGCCATCTGATCTGAGGCATCTATAGCACCTCATCATTCCTGACACAATCAGACAGTCTCTCCGGATTACATGTGCCACATTCTGACTGCCAGTTTTAGCCATTTTCCAGGGTTGAAGACTAATCAAGCTACTTTAGGATTCTGTTGACTTCTTGGAGACTCTCACTGGAAATTGGCCTGGTATAAGAGTGAACTTTTCAAGAATTACATGTCTGAGTCCCATGGTCACACCCTGGTTTGAAACACATGGACTCTGTCATTAGATTATGGGGCAGGAGCACCCCAAAGACACAACATCCAGGTTGGAATGAACAGGCCTGCCCCAACATTTGCAGGGTTGCGAGAAGAACACAAAATAGAGTCCCTCATACCATATGCTAAATATTTAGATATAATAAATCATCATAACACAGCTAAATAAACTATCTTCCTGCCCTAACAAACATAGCTTCATAAAGACCTGGAAGGCAAGTTCAAATTTGGAATTCTTGGACTTCTTTGGGTTCTGTGTAGGAAGGTGGCAGTTGAAGGTGGCTGCCTGCCCCAGCTTTTCCTCCTTTCCCCACTCTTGGCTCCTTGTCCCAGGGGAGGGGCCTATTGCCAAGCCTAGCTATGTACCCCTGGTGGCACAATCCCTCCTTGGCCTGTTCAGGATCCTAAAAACAGGATCAGGGCTATTTGGGCAGGGAATTCCAGGGTCCTGGGTACTCAGTTAATGTTCTAGAACAGTGGTACTCAAATGGGGGCCATTTGGCGATTAGGGTATTACTGGCATGTAGTGGGCAGAGGCCAGGGATGCTACTGAACATTCCACAATGTACAGGACAGCCTCCACGACAAGGAATTATCCATCCCCAAATGTCAATAGTCTCAAGGTTAGACACTCTGCATTAGGAGGACAGAAATAACTGTTAAATATTGCATAGTTAAATTCCTGAACCCTGTTCTAGAAGAAGTGAGGTTCTGGGTAGGAGTGCCTTTTTGGCTTCAACAGATTCTTTTCCCCATGGGAGATGTTGCCTGAAGAGGGACAGAATAGGGCCCTCTGAAGTATGGGGTCCAGGGCCAAAGACCTCCTTGCCTAAATGTGAGGATGGTCCTAGGAAGGAACGTCAGAACTCATCTAATGGTGCAGGACACGAAGGCCTTCCATGGTCCCAATAAAGCGTTTGTCTGAATATCTCAAAAGAGGAGTAAGTCACTGTCCCAAGGCAGCTTTTTGTATCTGTGGGCTGCTTCCTTGGCAAGTTTACACTGAACTGAAATCTGCCTAACTTCCTGGGATCAAAAGAAACTTTGGCCTTGGGCAAAGGCCCTTTGGCTAGCATTTGCACCATTTATGCAACTGTCTAGCATATGCCAGTTACATGGAGAATACTAGCAAGTACAACAAGCAAAATTGCTAATATATATACTTTCCAGAGGACGACAAAAAATGTGAATGGTGTTTCTTTGATAGATGAATAGAGTCTAAGGGTCTAAATAAATTAAATATGTATCCCTAAATGTGGCTGGAGCAGCTTTTTTTTTTTTTCTTGAGACAGGGTCTTGTTGTGTCACCCAGGCTAGAGTGCAGTGGTGTCATCATAGCTCACCGCAACCTCAAACTCCTGGGCTCAAGCAATCCTCCTGCCTCAGCCTCCCAAGTAGCTGGGACTACAGGCCCATGTTACCACACAGGCTAAGGAGCAGCTTCTGTTCTTGTTTCACACCGGGCTTGAATCAAGCCTCAGTATTTTGCCATTCTCAAAACTAAATCCTGCCTATGGAGTAGTAGGGGGAAATGCACATTGTATTGAGGAACTCATGGGGTGATGGGGAGCATTTAAATTCCACACAGCAAACAAAACAAACCACCAAGAGGCATAGCTGAACTCCCTTTGGTCTGTCCCTTCTTGGCCCGTCTGAGTCTTCCTGTGGCTTGATGTTTCTCTTTAGGACACCTTCCTCATTTCCTCTTTTGAGTCAAGTATGTCCAGCTTTTGCCTCCAATTTTCATACTTCACTAGGCATAAAAAAAGGCTGCTGGCAAGTCAGAGGCCTCAAATTGAGGTCCCAGACTGGCAATGACTGGGCCAGTCTTGGGAACAAGTCAGGAAGGCAAGTTCTGGGTTCCCTTCCCAGACCTACTGGGTCAGAAATGCAGCAATCTGTGGTTTACCAAGCCCTTTAGGGGAGTCTAACGTGGCTTTGAAGTTAAGCGAACGTCACCTTCTTCTCAGGCAACAGTTCAGCCACCTCTGTGGTTGTTCAGGTACCCCGGTGGGGATGGAGGATGAACACTCTTCCCCCTACTCTATTCCGCCCCTCCCCACCATGGTTTATCAAACTCTTCTAATAAAAATGTGTGTTGGGGGTGGCGGGTGGAAGGCGAGGAGATCTCTTATTCTAAGAGCACTTCAGCATATTGTTGCAGACAGATACATATTTACTGTAAAAATAAGTCTAAGGGAAGAATATAAGTAAAAGTTTAATTCTTACTCCTGAAAGGTAATCAGTCTCCTATATATCTTTCCAGACATTTCTGAGCACACAAGTAAACATCTGTTGACACATTTTTTAAAAAACACAAAAGTAGTTTGTACTGTTTGCTCATTTCATAATGTTTTAAAAATATTTTTCTTGAAAGGTAATATTTATCTCTCCTTTTGTATGTAGGTCTCGTAAATTATTTAACCATTCTACCCTTCTCCTTGAGTGTTGTCGCCCCAGAGTCAGACAAAAACACGAGAGATGCGCAGAAGCCAATCAGTTACCATTCTGGTATCTGTACGGTTGTGGCCTTGCCAAACAGGAAAAATATGAAAAGGACACTGAATTCTGCTAACCAAGTAACACTATGTGCTAAGGACTAAGAAAATGGCAGAGGAGAAACGGTGGGTGAGATGTACCGACTTTACACACCATCAGAAAACCAAAAAGCAGGACAATAAAAAAATGAAAACTACAAAAAGCATCCATCTTGGTGCGTCCCAATTTCTAGATAACAAATGAGACTCTAGGACCAAAGTCCGTCATAAATCTAACGACGTTTCTAGACAAAGTGACTTCAGATCTTCAAGACGTACCACGTATACCTCATTTTCTCAATTTCGTGTACTGTAATCGCGGACTACACTCTTCGGGAAAGAAAGCACGTTTTTTTCCGGCGTTTCGGGTTTCTGGACCTTTCGCCGTGGCGGGCGGGGGGTGGGGGGGCGGCGGCGCGCTGCTCCTTGGCCCCGCCCCTGGGCTCTCCGACCACTCGCGTCCCGAGGCTGCCGCAGGCGGCGAGCTAAGCGCGCGGGCGGCGATTGGTTCCGGGCCAGGTGGGCGGGGCGCGGAGACCTGGCATATAAAGTCCCAGCGGCGCCGCTGAGCGGGTTTGCGTCGCCGTCTCCTGCAGTGTTTGTTTCGTCCTTGCAGGCTCTCTGAGCCCGGACCCCCGCGTGTGTCCCGCGAGTCATGACGTTGAAGGCTGTGTGCGTGTTGAAGGGCGACGGCCCTGTGCAGGGCACCATCCACTTCGAGCAGCAGGCAAGGGCCGGGGCGGAGGCCCGTCGCGAGGCTGCACCCACGCACCTGTGCAGGCAGCGGGCGGCCGGCCGGGCCTGGGCCGCCCTCGTCACACCCCCGCCGCGCCCGCCCCGCTTGGTGCCTTTGCCCCGCGGCGGTGCGGCGCCCGCTAAGTGCTGAGTCACCCGGCGGGCGGGGCGCGGTGGTGTATGACCGAGGCCGCCGCGGGGCTGGGCCTGGGCCTGCTCCTGGGCCCGGGCCTTGGCGGGAGTGCGGGAGTGGAACGCCGAGGCCTGCCCCGCGGGTGCATGCTGCGGCGGCGGCCGGGGAGGGGTGGGGACGGCCGGGCTGCCGCTTCGGGGTCTGTGGGCCTGCGTGGACACTTCAAGTGTTGGAAGCGGCCGAGGTCCTTCCTTGCCTGGTCTGTTCTTGCTCCAGAGGGTCCTCTGTTACCGAGTTGCGCAGTCCGGGGCTCATCCCGCCCTTGAGATCCGGGGTGGCGAGTGCGCCGGGGCCCGCCTGCGCGTCGTCGCATCCCTCATGCCTTTGCGGCTGCTTTTCCATCCTGTGCGCTCTAGGTCTCGGGTCTCCGTTTTTGTACAGCTCTCCAGCTAAGAATGTTTTTTAGGGTTTTAAAAGTCTGTGAAAAACAATACGCAATAGGGACCATATGTGGCACTTTGCAGGAAAGTTGGCTGGCCCCTGTTCTAGGTCATGGTCAGGCTGCAAGGGCAGAGAAGATGGCTTTGGACAGAGATGTTTTTCTCCTTCGAAGCGCCAAAAGCCAGCAATCTGACCCTTTTGTTTGGGATTTTCCAGGGCAGAGATTCTCAACTCCGGGTGCACAGTACACTTATTTGGGGAGCTTTTAAAAAAATACAGAGACTAGGGCCCACCCCCAGACAAATTACATCAAAATCTGTCCCAGTGCAGTCTGAGCATTGCTATTTTTTAAGTTTCCATAGTGATTTTAATGTGTACCTAGTATTGACAACTGTTTGAGGACAGCGGGTGGGGTTTGGATTTGGAATTTAGGAGACCTAGATTTTCCATTACATTGAATTGGCACTTAACTCTGTTATTGGATCATTTCTTCAACCAAATGCTCTGCAGAGTGGCTTTAAAATTGCTCTGCCAGTGAGCAGGTTGCTGAGGTGGTCAAAGACAAACTACTGAACACATCTTGTAAAATAAAGTATTCAGAAATATATTCAGAAATACTATCAGTAATATTGCAAAACAGATGTGTTGCAAGGAATGTACTTTTGATAAGACTGTCCTCAGAACTTTAAGGAGGTTACCAATTGGTGGAAAATTGTACTTAGTTTAATAATCATGAGACAATATTTAATATGTGAATGAGATTTAGTCTTTAAAATGGTTTACAGAAATGTGAGAGGACAGGAACAGTATCTGTGAACAGTCTAAGTATCTGTGAAATTTACGTGAGGGGAGAACTTATATTTGAGTTTAGGTTTTCTTTAATTGGTCTCAAAATTTTCTGGAAAAGGTTAACTTTGGCATTTGACTACATTTTGCTGTTTCATTTGTCAGACATTGTTTCGCTGCCTTTCTTCTCCCACGTGATTCGCCAACACTAGAGTGTCTCAGAAGCCTCTGAGGAATTCCCTCCCCTATAGCCTTTGAGAAGCCATTCGGGAACCCAGGTTCCTCTGCAGCTTGTGTGTTTCCTTCTTTTGAGCTCCAAACTTCATTTTGGTGATTTCCCTTGTACCTGATGTAGCCCCTTAGGTAGTTAAGCATTACAGCTTTCCAGAAATGTAGATGTAATCAATTGGCTATAAACTGTCTTTGGTTTGGCCTATTCAGTGTTTAAAATTTTGGATTAGTTGCCAACTTTTAAACATCAGAATTTTCACCTATAATCCAATTTTCCTAGCCTCTCTTGAAAAATTGGGAGATCGCTCATATTGGAGATCTGCTCGTACTGAGCTTTCATTAGCCCAGGACAGCACTGTGCTAGAGCAGTGTACATTGTTTTTTGCTTCCCAGGCCTGTTTACTGCTTTAAGGTACAGTCTGGTCCCAGTAGGGTTGAACCCAGCTTGCTTTTGAACAACTACTTGTATTTGCAGTATGCAAATATCCCTTAAATGGAGATTTGAAAGGACCTGCCCTTTTTGTTTTTGTGCTCTTTATAACATAGCGTTTTGAGGGACAGCATTCATAATTGAGTTTTTCCAGAATTAAATATTTAAAAGAATCATAGTATCCTCAAAAAGAAAAGAAAAAAGGGCAGCAATTGCCAGAATACTTCCTTTGAGCAGTGGTATTTTCCAATGGAAAGGCAAATCTTAAAGGCTAATGCCTCTTGTAACTGTTGGCCTTGCCTATTTAAAAACAAACCAAGCTAAAAATAGACACTAGCACATGTATTACTGTGGTGTGGATGGTGTGTGTACCTTATTTTAGTCCTAAGCTCTCTTTGTAGTTTCATAGTACCTCCCTTGATTTCTGTGTGTACCTGCACGGCACCGTTACCTGTCACCCTGGCCTGCATGGCAATACTGCTTTAGTATTTTTATTGTCTTTTTTTTTTTGTTAGAGGAAAGGTTATCTGGGTTTCAGTGCCTAAAAAGATTTCAGACAACAGTACCTCTGGTTAGACTAAAATTGGTAGTACCCCCAGGGTCAGTGGGATAGAATATTTTTTGGCTACTAATTAAAAATATCTATGATGGAAGCAAACAGCCACCGAGGAGACAGTGGAGAATAGGGGTCCTAGGGAAGCCAGTTGGACATTTTCAGGGTGCCTTTTCATTTTTTTAAGGCAAGTCTATATGTTTGCATTGGCTGCATAAAGAAAAAGCAAGGTGCTTAAAAGACGGTATGATGAGACACCTTTTGGGTTAAAAATTTTGAAATGTGCACATAACACTCAGCATGTACAAATATGACCTAGTCAAAAGTATTTGGTAAATAAGTACTTTTTCATATTATATATTCACTGTAAAAGAGTCAAGACAAAGTATATAAACCTGACATTTTGGTACTTACTATGCTTGCCACTCTGCCAGGTGCTTTTAATATGCCATTTAATAATGATGCCTGGCCACAAGGTGCCTGTGCTTTGAGTGCCAGAACAAGATTACCGTCTCCGTTTCCATAGGGATACAGGCCTAGAGCAGTTAAGCAGCTTGCTGGAGGCTCACTGGTTGGAAAGTTGTGGGCCTGGGGTGTGCACACGGATTTTTCGACTCCCAATTCCATGTTCTTTTCACTCTGTGTGGTAAAGGTAAATCAACTGTTTCCTTTGTCGAGAAGCACTTGTTCTCTCAAACTTCATGCACTTTTCTTTGAATAAAGGAAAATGGACCAGTGGTGATAAAGGGACGCATTACAGGATTGACCGAAGGCCAGCACGGATTCCACGTCCATCAGTTTGGAGATAATACACAAGGTGGGTGTTCTGCCGCTCTAGTGACTCATACTTGTTTGACCTAGTACAATAAACAGGACTGAGTAAAGTAACCCCTAAACATTAAAAACCCACAATTTTTTTTTTAAAGAGGTCAAGTTAAAAAGACTATTAACATCAGCCTTAAGGAGTTTAGCCATACACTGGTCTTTGACTCTTACGTGGAAATGGAGAGGAGGAGTTGATATTTTTTTGTAGTGATTATGGCTTGATTATATAAGAGGTTTTTTAAAGAATGCAATAGACATATAGAAAACAAAAAGTAAAGCTCCTTTCTTACCTTCTGTAATGATCCCAGGGGTTTTTGAGCTGGAGTTTGAGGGTGGTGCTTCAAGCACAGGGCCTGCATTTACTTGCATTATGCTGTATAAGAATAGCTCCACACCCCAACACAAAATCTTAGTGGGGAAAAAAAAGTATGATGCAAACTGAAGAGAGCAGACTGTTGGTGCTTTCAAATAAGTTTCATTTTCATCATTTGGGATTAGAAGCAAATTAAAAGTTTATGGGTTAAATTGCATTTAGTGATCTTTTGCCATATTTGAGTAATGTTCTGAACTTTGTGTTTACGGACTTCTTATGATGAGAACTTTGTTCATTTTACTAGAACTTGTTTTTAATTTTGCACAATTTAGTTCGAAATGGTGATTTAATGACCAGATTTGATCCATTTCAGTAATTACTAACATTCTCCAAGTTGCTTCTTGGTTTTTACTGCCTCTGGTTTGGGAGGTACTTGCCCTGTAGCTTTGACTTGCTAGCTACTTCCTATAACCTGCCTGTCTGTCTTCTGTGTGGGACTCCTGGAGAGGGAAAGGCAGGGCTGCTGAGTGAAGAAAGCCGTGTCATGCAAGGACCTTCTGCACTGTGGCAGTTGTGTTCTGCGTGAATGGCATCCTCTGGTGCACAGGAGTGCTGTTTATACAGAATGCAGTTGGAGTGCCATCCCCTGGAGTTGTGTGAGGTAGCAGCCTTGACCCTTGCACATAAGATGCTGTGTTAATGTTCTACCTGCACCAAGTATAAAGCGCACAGACAGGAGAGCTGATTGGTAGTATGTTGCTGGGGAGATAAATTTTTTGTAGTTAAGGCATGCTACTTTCTTAAAAACTAGGGTCATAATCATGGGATTCGAATAGTAGAACTGTTGAGGATCAAGTCTGGTTCCCTTATTTTACAGTGAAGAAGCCAAAACCTAGAGAAGGGTGCTAGCTTTACTAGTGTCAGACAGTAGTTAGAACTAGTCTCTACTGCCTGCCCCGCTGTGTTTATACCAAGGTGTTGCTTAGCCCGGAAGTCATGATGCAGGTCAGTGCTTTTTCCATTGGAGGTTTCAGCAGTGTTTCTTTTTAGAATGTATTTGGAGTTTTGCTTTGTAATTTAGCTGCTTATTTATTTTTTTGTAAATAGGCTGTACCAGTGCAGGTCCTCACTTTAATCCTCATTCCAAAAAACATGGCGGGCCAAAGGATCAAGAGAGGTGAGCAACAAGATGCTTAGCTCTTATAATAATGGCAGTGGCTTTTTGGAATCCATATGGTAGGTCCACTGCTTGTAAATCGCATGCTAAGATAATTGAGTGTTCTCCACCTGTTTTTTGAAGTTGTTAACTCCCATGGAACCCTGCACCCCGAAGTGCTGGAATTGCTTACTCCCTAGGCTATTGAGTTGACAAATGGGGACACTTAAACAATTTGGTTTTGGAGCATTTATTGAATATAGAACTAATACAAGTGCCAAAGGGAACTAATACAAGAAATGTCATGAGTAACAGTACTGTCAACCACTAGCAAAGTAAATCATCATTGTGAAACATAGGAAGCTTCTGCAGATAAAAATATGATATCGAAAGCTAGTTGAGTCTCCATTTGTGTGTGTTTTCTGAAAGCCTTTCAGGAAAATATTAGATTTAAGGACAAAGAGTTTTATATATATATAAAACAGAGGCCTAGGGGCATAGCTTTCTTAGCTGTGCCAATAATTAACAGCCATAACTCAGTAACTTAGAATTTACCCTTTGGTACTTTACTTCTGAAATTAGAGGTGTACTCCCCATCTCATGACTTTTCCAAGAGCATTACTTTATAAACTTGAAGCCTTGTTTGAAGAGCTGTGTCTAGAATGTCTAGCTATTTGTTTTTAAATGTTTCCAAAATTTTGTGTAAGTGGATGAGTGGATCTTATTTGATATATACTGTATACACTTTTTAGCCCACCCTTGTGTACTTGACTCAGTCAATTTTTAATTTAGCTCGTGAACTGACTGTCCAGATGTTAAGTGGAATCAGTCCTAATTAATCTGATGCTTTTTCATTCCACGTTAGGCATGTTGGAGACCTGGGCAATGTGACTGCTGGCAAAGATGGTGAGGCTGTTGTGTCTATTGAAGATTCTCTGATCTCGCTCTCAGGCGAACATTCCATCATTGGCCGCACAATGGTGGTAAGTGTTCATACAAAGGATATGCATAAAATTTGTTCTAACTTATAGTTATGTATCTTTTTAACGACTTCACGATTATTACTGTCCTGGTTTCTAAAGATCCAGATAAATTGTAGTTCAGATTGGGAAAACCAATTTTATTAGATGATTACAGTGAAAATGAAGTATTTCATCTAGGCCAGTTAAGTAAGAACACTGTTTTGCTAAGATTAGCAGTAAAAAGCAGGTTGCATTTGATATTAGATCCCAATTGGGAAAACAGTAGTCTTTAGTTTTAAAATGGCCAGGTTTTCTTGCCACAATTCAGTTTCCCCCTTGTAGCTGAATAGAACATTTTGTTAAGTTTAAAATCTTGGATGGACTTCAATATTAATGTTCATTCAAGTCTGCAGGTTGTCATTAGTTGTTTACCACGAGGGAAGCGGTTGCCGTAAGTTACTCTGTGGAGGTACATCTGGTTCATGCAAAGCACTGAGTAGTATAGGCTCTCTTTTGTCTACTTTGGGGGCAGTTAACGTTCAGTAGTCACTTACTTTCATTAACCCTTTATCCTTAAAATTGTCTTCGGCTATAATTGTGAAGCAGAAAAATCATTTATAAATGATTTCATACATTTTAATGAACAAAATTTAAAATACTATTGCTAAAGCATTTAAAATAGTTTTAGGATTACCTCTTATTTATAGGCCTGTAGTTCATTAGGCATGACATTTTGATAGTTTTTTTGGTACACTTTCACTTTCTTTTTAAAGCAATTAAAAAAAAGCGGCCAAAGAAACTACAAGGATGGCTACTTGAAACTAAGGTTACTATAATTTATCATGGAGGATTAAGACCAGCATGTGGTAGCCTGTAACAGATGTTTGGGTTTTTTAGTATTTCATTTAAAGATAGCAACACTTACCTAGTTTTTAAAGGTAACATGTCTGTACCATCAAGAAAAAGTAAGTAGTAGTTTCTACTTTTGAATTACTAGATTAAATGTAGTATTATTTCCCTACTAGTAGGATTATTTTAACATGTTATTTTTCTAATATGATGAGGTTCTTAAAAATCTTTTGGGTATTGGAAGAGGTAATTACGTGATAGCTCAAAGTTATATGTTCTTAACATTTTTTAAAGGTCCATGAAAAACCAGATGACTTGGGCAAAGGTGGAAATGAAGAAAGTACAAAGACGGGAAATGCTGGAGGTCGGTTGGCTTGTGGTGTCATTGGGATCGCCCAATAAACATTCCCAAGGATGTGGTCTGAGTCCTAGTAACTCATCTGTTATCCTGCTAGTTGTAGACTGTAACTTGATAAACATTAAACACTGTAATCTTAAAAGTGTAATTGTGTGACTTTTTTTAAATTGCTTTAAGTACCTGTAATGAGAACTGATTTATGATTACTTGGACGATTTGTATAGTTTTATAAAACTCATTATCAATTAAAATGTCTGTTTCAGTGATCTCCATATTTTGCCAGACTTAATCACAGATGGTTATTAAACTTAATTGTCTGAATTTCTTCAATTCTCATTCAAGCCTGTGAATAAACAACCTGTATGGCACTTATTTTGAGCCTATTAAAGTGTCCAAATTTAAATTCTACATTAGCTCTGGTATTTATATAGAGCTTGAATGGAACAGATTAAATAATATTAACTGTTTCATAGCATTGTAGTGTATTTTGAAAATGTTTTAAGTGGGACCATCAAAATGTATAAATTTTTAGCAGCTTTTAGCCAAAACTAACCCACACTTTGAACTTAGACAAATAGGTTGTCCTTTGTCAGCTTTAGGTTATTTTCCCTTAGTCTCTTAGCATTTTGGTTCATGAAGTACCTGTTTATTTTAAAAAGTAGATGTTATGGTTTAAGAGAGCCATTTGGTAACTTTTAGTGAACTTGTAAAAGGCAAGTTACAGCCTCAGCTAAGAATAAGATTAACTTACCTACCTGCCAGAATGGCACCTATTCTACTTTCAAAAACAGAGGTTGGCAGTCTACTTTCAGACCAGCCTTTGAAAGAAATCTATAGCACTGGAAGATGGAACCAAGGAAATGTCTGATTGTAGGTCTGGCCATTTAAATATTATAGGAATTTATACACCCAATTAGTGAAATCAAGTCTCTTTCTCTTAATGTAAATGTATATGTACCTGTGAGAGAAAGCTTTGAAATGTTAGTCTAACTCAGGTTTGACTATCTGGGTAACAGCTGTTTATTCAATTGAAAATTGTACAATATTATTTCTGATAGAGAAACTAGGAATAATCTACAGTCCCATTTGTTCCTTAATATATCATGTACTTTCTTAAATGTAGTTCAATTAGGAGAGGAATGCTAAATTGGAAAAAGACCATTTTTGGTGTTTTCAAAGTTTTAAGACTGATAAAGACCAATATGCTCACAGTAAGTGGCTAAAATGACCAGGTAGAGAATTTAAACAGTTAGATTTTCACTGATGTACGATTTGTTGCGTATGTGGGATAACTCAAGTACAGGGACTCACTCGGGATCTTTTAAAGCCTCAAGTGTAATCACACTACCAGTTAGTATTTTGCGTTTTTTCATGTGTAAATGGGGTGGTCTCAATACTTTTAATTGGAAATAAAGGCTGTAAGTCCTTGAAATCTGGATGCTGAATAATCAGATGTATGTTTCTTTTCAGAAGGATTTAGTTAGGTCTTTTAGACTTCTCAGTGGGCCAATGTAAAACTAAGGACAAGTTTTACAATTTAAATCCACAGATACGAAACTGGATTCTCATTTTCTAAAGGCAGGAATACAAGAACATTGCTCTAGGTATATTCTCCCTGTCAAAAACAAAGGTCTCGTAGAGTATTATTTAAAAACCAAAGTAATAAAGCAACTTCGCCTGGGGACTGAAGGCAAAAAAAAAGTTAACTGCTCGGCACACTGAAACTAGGACAGTTTAAGAATGTAATTTAAGAAAAAAGCTTCAACAAGGCCATAAATACTTGGACAGTGTAACATCAGGTCTTGGCACCGGGTAAGCCGTTTTGTGTAACAGCTTTTCTGCACTATTTCAGATATAGGCTTGATTTGGCTTTGGGCGTCTTCATGTGATAACCAAATATTTTTCCTAGTTAACCCAACAATTTGAAGCAAAAGAGATAAAGTACTTTTCTATGTGGCAAAAAGTTCAGTCTACCTCTGCCCAGCAGGAGAGTTTTAAAAAATAGTAAAGAAAAGCAACAGGCACTGTTATAGGAAACAATAGGTTGCATTGAAGTCGTTAAACATGTAAGACAAAAAGGTTTTAGGTTGCAAATGTTAACCTTGATTTCTTCCACTGTTTTGAAAAAATGGTTTTTAAAAAAAAAACCAAAACATGCAACCTTCTAAATAATACCCAGGCAACCACATAATTTATAGTACAACCTGTAACAATGGGATCTAATTGCCCTCCTCCCCAGCATAATCTCTTTACAAATTAATTAGGGTAACATTTACCACAAAGCCAATGGGGAAAAAAAAACCTTAAATGAATTGCAAACACTAACAAACTTTTCAGTTAACATTAAAACAACTTAACCTTTATCTTATGACTGAAATGCTAAAAATCAAAAGTATTACGTATGAAAGTGTTTGAGAGTAACTACATAAAAATGTCTATTTTGCATCAAATAAGTCTAATTTAGACTCCAATACAGTATCAACAGCTCAAACTTTGATGGTGAACAATCCTTTTCCACCTTAATGCAGCGTAGAAGAATAGCACACATTAAAGTTTGTTACGAAAATAGAGTTTATTAAAAACATCCCTATTGTTTTGAGGAGCTTTCACCGTTACCTTGTCTTAAATTAAAAAAAAAAAAAAATAGAGAGCACTTCTAATTACGATTTGTAAACTTTTTAAAGTCAAAACTTTTAAAAAGTTACAGCAAAAAGGGTAATATTTATTCATATTTTCAGTATTTTTTGTTATTTTGTGGCTATTTTTAAATAGAAGGGAAGCAATCAAATTGCTTACAATTCCCCACCAACTACCGCGGGGCTGTGATATAGCAGGAGCAAATATGATACAGCATCTGTACACCTCAAGCTCTACACTCCAGGAAGTGTCACTGTCACATTTTGACAAATTCCAGTCTCTAACGAGGAGCCTCTGCTGCTGAGCCAGAATCCTTTTCAGGTTCAATGGATGAGGTAGCCTCAGCAGGTAACTCTCCAGAAGGTTTTACAACTGTGGCCTCAGACTCCCCCTTATCAAGTTCTGAAACAGTGTCTACGTTTCCCACTTGGCTAATGGAAGGTTCAACGGTTTTGTTACCACCTGCCCTGTCTGTCACCTCAGGCTTTTCCTTTCCTCGGTTTTCTTCCTTTTCCCTACGAGACTCTCTATCTCTAGAATCTCTCTCTCTGTCTCGATGCCCACTAGAGCGTCTATTCCTCTCTTCCAAGTCTCTGTGCCTGTCCCGGTCAGGGCTCCTTCTTCCCCACTCTCTCCTTTCACGATTACTATTCTCTCTATCATCATTGCGGTTCCCATACCGTTCCCGGTCATTTTCCACCCTATTTCCAAAAGATCGTCTTCCAAATCTTTCTTGGTCTCTACCTGAATTGAACTGCTGCCTGTTATCATTTCTAAACTGCTGTGGCTGCTGCTGGGCTGGTGGAGGCTGTTGTGACGGTGGCGGCTGCTGCTGTTGTGGCTGTGGTGGAGGCGGCTGTTGCTGTTGCTGCTGTTGCTGTTGCTGCTGCTGCTGCTGCTGTTGCGGTTGTTGCTGTCTCCCATCTCTGTCTTCAGGACCCCCTGGGCCTGGCCCTGGGCCCCCGAGCCCTGGCATTCCACCAGGCCGAACAAAGGGGCTGTGCGGTGGGAAGGGACCTTTCATTCCATGAGGTGGAGGCATCGCAAAGCCCCCTGGTCCTGGTGGCGGACCTCTGTGCATCATGTGCGGCGGCATGGGTCGAGGTGGCATCAAAGGGAATCGCTGTAAGTGAGGTGGAGGCATTCCTGGAGGACGCTGAAGCGGGATGAGGCCGGGTCGGGCACCAAGAAGACCAGTAGATGGTGCCTGGAGCCCAATTACAGGACCAGGGGCAACTCCTTGAGTGCCTGAAAGACAACAGAAGTAAAAATGTAAATACTGCAGAAGATTGCAGTCTATTTTCAGTTGCTTCCCACGGAGCTTAAAGCAAAAAGAAATTCCACCCAGAATCTTCACATGTCATGCTGTTTGTCAGTCTACCTGCGACTAACCCAATGGAGGGCCCAGTAACAACCTAAGGCAAGCAATCACAAAGACTAATTTTTAAAGTAATAAAGGTGGAGGCCAAAATAAGCTGGAAAAGAAAATTTTAATGATAAGAGCAATTTCTGAAAAGAGTATGTCAAAATTCCCTTCTGTAGCCTTAGACGCTGTTTCACCACTCCAAATATTTAGAGAAGCACAACATGCTAAGCCCTAATGAGATAAAGCATGCACTAGTATTCAAGCCAAGTGAAGGTTATTGCAGGTGAACTCTTACAAAATTTTACACTCTGATTCTAGGTCTCAAATTCGACTTACTACTAGAAAAAACAAGGTCACTAACCTAGAAAAATCCAGTAAAGAGGAAGGTCTCTCTGATTCCATGCTACACTTAAGTCCATATTACAATGCCTCATGTAGTTACTATGCAATAGGCACCATTTAAACACCAATGTTTATAAAACAAGGATCCACACACAAATGAAAAGTTTATTTTTACAGTTCCTTTTTCAAAGCACAGCACAATGTGTAACCTGCTAGGCCAACATGACTACTGAATAATGCTGAACGTCCAGCCATTCACCTTCCATCCATTCGTCCAAAGGTGGCAAGTCTGATAAAGCTAGTGCTGTTGAAAGTAACAACAATTTCCTCATTTTATTTTCACATTTACACAAGGGTTTGCTCATTGTGGTCTAAGAGTCGCAGATGTTCAACAACCCATCATTTAAATCATATGAGAAAGAAGTAAGGATTTGTGTTTTGGTTCACCACTTAACAGGAAAGCACTGGCAATTTATTTATCTGAAAATATAAGTATCACAAGGCAAATACTATGACCAAAAGGAGTTACTCTGATAATGGAAAACGTTCCAGACATTGTCAGAATATGCTATTTACCTATGTACTGCAAAAAGGCCCTTGAGCAAGTTATTGGTTAGGACAATCAGTTGGCAATGGTTAAGAGAAATGCTCTCACACATAGGCAAATGACCCAATACTTTAGTACTAAGTATTTTCATCTCTTTTTTCCCCAATATCACGTTATTTTAGGTTTATAACTTGGATCAACTTCTCACCCACTTTAGCAAACAGATCTTGCAATGTTTCTAAATTTTCTGTATAAACAATACTAGTATGATAAACAAGAATTTCTACTTCAGTTTTTGCTACTCACACCATGTGGTCTAACATTACTCTCTCAGAGTTAACCACTAAAGAGGAATTGAAAATGTATGTAAACCACTTTATAACTCTTAATACGAAGACTCATCAGCTATGGTATTTACTTTAATAAAATACCTTCTTTTAAATGCTTAAAGAGAAATACATTATGTCTGGTGAAATATAATCTTACTCATGAGTATGCTGGATATGTGCCTCAGTATTCTGGTTTATAAAATGGGCATGGTAATAAATACCTGCCACTTGTTGAGATCAAATGGGATAAAATATGGAAGAGTAAGCTCAGTGCCTGGTTAACTGCCGAAATTATTGTCCTAATACATCTATTTAGAAAGGTGACAAACAACCTAACACTAAATATTTGACTTTGCAAAAACACATTTTTCATTTTTGATAATTAAGATCTTAATTAATTCCTCCTGATTCCCCAATACTTACCATAGTTTAAAGCTAAATACTTTAGTAGCAGGGAAGAATGTAAATATACTTTCCACATGCCAGGTATAAAGTTGGGAAATGCTAATTACTACAGCAAAAGCCAGAAATTGTGAAATGGATAAATTAGGTGATAACTTTGTCCCTTCAGACTCTTCACACTTTCTTTAGGACAATCTGAGACAACAAACATATACAGGACCACCAACATCTGTGGACTTTAATTCAAAACAAATAACAGAAAATGTGCATACCCAGGTATAGCCTCTTTTAATAGTTATTACATAGAAGCATCTAAAACAAACTGAACTTTACTTTCCCATCAGTTTTTATTAGGAAAGGGTTTCAAGGACTAAAATGACCAATGTCTACTGTTATGGAGGTCAGTGTAGTACACCCCAGTGCCTACCTGTAAGTTCAAGGGGCCATAGCAAAATTTAAAATAACATTAGAAAATGGGAGAGGGAGGGTCTCAAAGCATCTTATTAGAACTAGAATTTGTGATTCCATGCTACACTTAAGTCCATATTAAAATGCCTCATGTAGTTACTATGCAATAGGCACCATTTAAACACTAATGTTTACAAAACAAAGATATTTGTTTTGAGATGAATCTTCAAAAGGAAACACAGTGCAGGGCAATGGGAAGGTCCTATTCCTGATTTCCCCATGATGACTTGGCTTTCTCAACTATCTGACAGTGTCCAAAAGGATACAAGTCCATCTAAACCTTGTACAGAAGGGACAAAATGGGCAATGATTATAACATATAAACCTCAGTCTGTAGGACCACATCTCTTAGGTCCTTTATAGCATATATTTGAGGGTGTCTATAGATTGACTTTACAGGGTTAATAGTTACACTGATCATATACTTAAACCTCCTATAAAGCACAGTATTTTTTTAATGAAGAAAAAAATTGCCTAACTCATCTATTTCATCCATGTGGATATTTGTAGTTGAGATCTGCCAATAATACACATTCAAATACCTTCATTTGTAAATAATGCTAGAAAGATGCATCAGAGGCTCGGTCTCCTTTTAACTCTTTATGAACCAACAAAATTTATAGATTTCCCTGACAGAATATTCCCATAGTCCCAAATGACCTTCAGACCCCAGGAATTTTTGTTTTATCTGTAATTCCTTTTATCCCCCTTTGTAGTAAACACATATTGCTTTTATAATAAAAGCTACAATTAAAAATATATTAGGTGGCAGAAGCCTTTGGTAGGTTATCTAGCTGAACTTAACTTTTATTAGGAAAGCTGGCATTACGTATATACCAGTGGAGTATAGAATGAGTTATCCAGGTCAAATGGGCATTCAAAGCAGTTATTCATTTTATCTGGAAGTATGATGTACATCACTGCCAAGTTTTCTAGAGTTATAGATTTTAAAGAAACACAATTCATTCACCCATGTACTGAATATATCAACTTTACATTATTGGCTCATTTAATGGGCTGAGGATATAAATAAAACACAGTCCTTTCCTTCAAAGAGTATAAAGTTTAGTAGAAATACAAGTGTCAATTGCTGTAAAAGATGGCACAAGCTAGCATGGTGACATAAAGGTGGAACTGATAAAGACGGTGTGTGAATCTGAGTGGGAGTCACAGGGATGTCTGAACTAGGTCCTAAAGGAAGGGAAGAACAGACAAGGCCAACATGAGTAAGGAAGGACATTAACTGTCAAGAGTGGCAGCTTTTGAAAAGGTTAAGCAAGGTGAAGCAGCAAAGTTATGTTTACAGAACTTCGATAGAACAATTTCTGATGCAAACTAAAGAGAGGAAAAAATATAGATGAGGTTTACGAGGCTGAACAAGTATGTCAGGGCAGTTCAGAGGCCTTATACACCATGAGAAGGAAGCTGGATTTTGACCTGAAGTGATTTGGGAAACCACCAAGGGTTTTATAGCAGGAATGAATGATGCTGTGATTGTTTTTGAGAGATCCTTTGATAAGTAGTATACAGGAAAGCAAGGAAAGTTCCCTAGAGGAAGTTAGGCTCTTACTTCAAGAATCTAGTAGAAGGTGATGAGACCGAACTGAGCAAGGTGCAACAGATGAGGGGCACACTGAAGACATTTAGTGACCAGGACTGAATGAGTCTGAGATGAAGGGGCACAGCTCTCTGCTCTGAATGACTGAGTAGATGGAGGTATCAATGCAAGATCAGGAATTAAGGAAGAGAAGTCACTTTTGGAGACACATGACAAATTTCATGTGGTAATACTGAGAGTCACAGGGGCCTGGGCAACCTTCGTGGAAATATTCTTAAGAAGTTGATTATGTGCATACTTAGGGCTCAGAAGAGAAGAGTCATGGTATTAACTCCCCCAGAATACATGTGAAACAAAAAAGAGCTTAGACCTGGGAAAACATAAATTTCTAATATAGCAAGGTTTTAGGGCAGACAAAAAAGTGATAGCCCCGAGTGTCTGTATTCAAATTTGAGAATAGGAAATAAACTGGAGCTTAACTCAAAATAAGCCAGACTGAGTATTTCCCATGATGATCCAAAAAACAACTGTTTTACAATTAAAAAATTAAAAGGAGATGCCATTGCCATCTACAGCAAAGATATCTGGAATTATGTGAAATACAGAACAAGCACATTAAAGGGCTACAAGGGAGGTGGGGGAAGGGAGAAGGCTGCTCTCATAGTTGGAGTCTAATGTTGACCATGAAATCTCAGAATGTAGATAAGGCATATGAAAAGTACATAAATAGAACAGCTTTTTGCCAAGAAGGACCACAGAGAATATGCAATCAGGGAGACAGATATAAAACCTAAGATGTAAAAGGTCTGATTTTAAATACTGTGGGAGTGATCAATTTTTTCAACAGTTAGATGATTTCATAGGGGATGTGAAATTTAAAGGGGATCTTTAAAGAAAAACAGGGATTTGCTACGTGAAAAGTGAGAGAGGAGGGCAGAGGAAGGAAGGACAGAGGGGACGTCAGAAAAGGCGAGGAGTCAGTTCCTCTACCTCTTCTGTCAATGACCTTGTCTTCCCTTCTACCCCAGCCACCGCCTGTAGGAGGTCCTGGATGTTCACCGATAATTTCATTACTTTCAAGTTCTCGATTTCAAGTACCCTACTCTCTGACTCCCCTTCTCCTCTTTCCAGGTCATTCCCTCCGGGACTCCTTTCCCAAAACAATCTTCAATCCCACCAGGCTTATGCCCCCAACGCCCTTCATGTCTCTATGTTCCTCCTTACCTGCCTTGGAGT